CTAAACTTCTTACAAATGGTGAGGTTCTGATTACAGTTCGACCATGGAGACAGTCAGAGGATTTTGCTAGAAGAGAAATTATTTCTTCAAGATCACGTAAGATTACTATTAAAAAATGGAGTCTAAAGAGGGATCTGTGATTGAAAAAAGAGATGCTAAAGTATGGATCAAGCTTTAAAATATTTCTTCTCCTTTAGGGAACAGTGAGTCTTTAGAAAATATGATTAAACAATTTGTTGACTTGGTGATGTTGGATGCTTTGACTAGTATTGGTTCTGCTTTAGTAGATGCTGTAATGTTGGTTAAGTATTTAGAGTTTATTGATATTCCTAAGGCGATTAAGGTGTTCGTGAGGAACTTTCAATATAATGTGGATGTTTCTGTAATGTCAATTGGGAGTGAGCTTACTATGGGGGAGAAGAAAAAGTAAAGAGTCTCTCGAGAAGTTAGTTTGGAGTATATCTCTTATCATGAAGAATGGTTTAAGAAGAGACAAGATAGTGACAACTCAGATAATACATCTCATAAATATCCAATTCTATTTCGTAGCTACTAAATATGATTATACACAAATAATTTGGGGACTCCTGCTAATAAATTATGGGGACAAACAAAAGACTTTTATAAAAAGAATGAGAAATTATATATAGAAGAAACCTTTTCTGAGTTAGGGAAAATGGTGAGCAATGAAGAAATTGATGAGATATTGACCCAGAGATGTACTGATGTGGTACATAATGAAGACAAGCTTGCGGTTAGTGAAGTTGGATAAACAAGTAGGGGGGGGGGGGGGGGTCTTGAGCGGGATGGAAAAAACTTTAGAAAGTACAGCTTTAGTCACTGTGGACATATTGTCTGAGGTCATTATTAATGAAGTGGAAATTTCCCAAGAGCAACATGATGAAGTTAGCTCTAGTACTTAGGTTGATGAAAAGATTGATGAAGCTGAGTGGGCTTAGGTTCATTGTCCTCAATTTGATGGTGAAATATTTAAAGGGGTTGTTGTTCAACGTGTAGAGGAGATGGATGCTCGAGGTGTTCAGTATACAGAGGAGATGAATGCATGTGTTGTTAATGTTGAAGAGATTGAGAGAGAAGATGGTAGTGTTGGTGGAGAGATTATTACAGATGTTATCCCTCTTAATGCAATACCCTTAGATGTGTCTTTAGCTGAAGTGGTGGCCGGGAGGACAACATCAATCTAAGATAGATAACTTTGTTAGAAGATGTTCTAGAATTGTTGGTACAAATGCTATTTTAATAGTGGCAAAATCTAAGAGGAGAGCTACTGCTAGAGATGAAGGATTGAGCTTTAGGAGCTACTAATGCTGGCTTAGATGAAAGCCCTTCTCTTGGTACTGCTTTCTTTTCTACATTGTTTGATTCATATTCTGATAGTCAGCTGAATAGGTTTGGTATGCCTTCTGTGTGCTTTAGTGTTTAATCTATAAGAGGGTTTTAACCCTCTAGATAGAATTAGACAAATGGAATGTGAGAGGACCTACTAAGTAGCTTTTGAGATGTGTGGGGTTAAATTTGTTTCAGTATGATGCTTACATGGAGTGTTAGAGGTTTAGGGGCTGTTTGGTTCGTTTTTTAACTCGGTGGAAAAGTTTTACACTGCCTCCACATCAGATTTTTCGTGGCCACGTAGGATATAAGCTTTCCGTCGGTTTTTTTTTCCATCTTTGGTTCGCTAGGGTTGAAGAAGGGAAACTCGGTGAAAATTACCGCCACATCAGATTTTTTTCTCTCCCTCAATTCCTTCCTCAACCTTGTGAAATCGACGAAAACTGCAGCCACGTCAGCTTTTTGTCATATAAACAAAAAAAATTCCTTTTTTTCCATGCGAACCAAACACAAGAAAAATAAATACATTGGTTTCCCACCATTTTTTTTGTGCGAACCAAAGCGAAACAATCTATTTCTTGAAAAAGTTTGAAAAACTCAAAACTTGTGTTTTTGTACATGGAAATGTATTTCTCTATATCTAGGAAACGAACCAAACAGCCCCTTAGGGGAAAATAAAAAAAGATTTGGGGTTAGGGAATTTTATCATCTTAATAAGTTTGATATACTTTGTTTTCAAGAAATAAAAATTGATTCTTTGAGTAATAATATTTTATAATGTTTGAGAGGAAATTATTTTGATTGTGTTTATTGACCCTCAATTCGCTTCTCTGATGGTATGTCAATTGAATGGAATATTGTTAATGGTAAAAATTTTAGAAAATTGTGGGCAATTTATTTTATCAAAGGCCTTACAAAGTAAAAGAGATGATTTTTGTGTGTACTGTTTCTTCTGTATATGGTCCTCATAGTCATAATGATAGAGTAACTTTCTAGCAAGAATTAAGAGATTTAAAAAGTAGTGTTTTTGGAGCTAGGGTGGTGGCACGAAACTTTAATATCACTACTAATCTTTCTGAAAGGAAGGGGAGGAATTATAATATTAGACAAATAAAGGAGTTCAATGATGTTATAGTGAATTAGGGTTGATTAACAGTCCTTTACTTGTTAGGAAATTTTCTTGGTCTAGTAAAAGAAGTTCACCTTCTTTGGCTAGACTTGACTGAGTTTTCCTTGACTATGGTGGGAAGATATATACACTTTTCCCAAACAACAAGGCTAAATAGTCAATTGTCTGATCACACCCCTAACCTTTTTTTTTGGTTAAAATGTTACATTTCATAAAATCTTTAAAGTTGAAAAAATATGCTAGCAAATAGATGATTTTATTCATAGTTTTCTTATTTGCGGTAGCTTTCCCATTCTAACAGGTCTACTACTAAAAATATTATTGGAAAACTAAGGTTTTTGAGAGCGCATATTAAGCATTAGACACAAAACAGTTTATATAGTGTGAAACAGAAGAACAAGGATGTAACGCCTCTCATGGAGGTACATAAAAATTTGGGCATGACCTGTCTATGATAGGAATGGTCGACCTGCTTAATCTTTACGTGTGTGTGTGTGTGTATATATATATATATTTTCAAAAAAGACCTCATTTTTATATATATGCCAAGTTGATTGATATCCCCGTGATCTCCTCTCTCTCTATCTCAATCTCTCTCTCTCCTCTCTGGCCGTGATTACCCCTCTCTCTCTCTAATATATGCCATGTTGATTTTATCTTGGATCTCTCTCTTTGTCTCTCCTATCTCCCCATGATCTCCTCTCTCTCTTTAACTCTCTCTCCTATCTCCCCATGATCTCCTCTCTCTCTCTCTAACTCCCTCTCCTCTCTGGACGTGATATCTCTCTCTCTAACTTATGCGCCGGCTCTCTCCCCCGTGATCTCCCTCTACGCCGCGACAACTCCGCCGTCGACGCTCTCCCCGCGAGATCTTTGACGCTGCCGCTCTCCTCTCTCTCTCAACTCTCTCTCCTCCCTCTCCCCCGTTATCTCTCCTCTCCCCCACGAGATCTCCGTTGCCGCCGTGACAACTCCGCCGCCTCCACGATAACCCCCTCAAACTCTTTGTTCTTTCAGGTAAAACTTTCTATGCTGGAATATGGTGATCACCGTCACTTGTCCATATGTATCCATCCCCTCCTTGTTTTCTTCATTCATCATGCTAATATCATATATTAGGGTTTGTTTGTTAACATTGCCATCTAATGACTCTGTCTTCTATGACGTAGCTACTAGTAAGACAACTTTGTCCACGACCACTCCGACGCCGCCGTGAAACTCCACCGTGATATCCCGTGATCTCTCTCTCAAACTCTGGCTCCTTGGTCGTGATCGTGACTACCATCGTCCTTGTCTTCCGACAGTGCCGCAGCCTCCTTCCTCTGACGCAACCTCGAACAAGCAACAATGGAAGCCTCTTCTTCTCATGAAGTCATCTTGTCGGAGGCCTCCTCCTCAAGCGAGCGACAATTGTCGATAACAATGGCTCTAATTGAGAAGGTAATAAATTTTATATGTGCTTAATTTTATTCTGGGATAGAAGTTTTGATTAATATTTAATTGGAGAAAAGATTGGATTTTGAAGGAATTTATGTCGGAATAATATATGTCGGCAAATATTAGTTAGATTAATAACAAAAGCAAATGAAATATGATCAAAGAGTCTGCGATAGCATATCCACTATCTTACATGCACTAACAGTATAGACCCAAGTAGAAGAATTCAAGTAACATTGACTGGCGAAGGTCACACATGTTGGCAACATGCATATTCTGTTTAGCATGTACCACATGTCCCAATAGTTCTAGAAAAATAAAAAAAAAAGACTATAGACACTATTTCCAAAAGCCTAAAAACCATAGAACCAATAAGAGAGATTAGAAAAAGTAAACGCTTACCTGAGAGCATTGCAGGTATGGAGAGGATCTCATTGGAGAAATTGAAATCCGGACTGACAACGAGCATTTTTGCCATCTGCGAGTCGAGAGGAAACTCGCTCATGATAATCTCACCTAACTTGGTCTAAGTTAGATTTTATTTCCCTAGTGATGTTTTGTAGTCTCAGTTGCTAAATACTAAGCATCTTGATGTATTAAATCTTTCATAATTTGGTGAATGAATAAAGTTTTTTTATTGACAAAAAAAAAATTAGTTATATTTTTTGTCAGAATAATATATGTCGGCAAATATTAGAGAATTGTGAATATTTGGTGTGTGTAAGTAAACTTCAAGGATAGATTTACATTTATTTTTAAATTTATGGCTAATAAATTCATATGATGTTTTAATACTACAGAATTGTTGAATGGAGGATGGCCAAATTAGTGCTGATGGTATTCCATTTGAAGGAAAAGAGTTTTAGACGGACAATGATGCATACAACTACTACAATGCATATGCAAAGAAGATTGGGTTTGGAATTCGCAAAGATACTTTTGAAAAATCAAAGAAAGCTTCAAGAGAGATTCTTTCGAGGACTTTTGTTTGTGATAAAGCGGGGAAAAAGAGAGCATCGTCTGAAAATGCAAGTGGATTGACTATCAACCGTCGTCCGGAAACTAAGTAGGTTGTGGTGCAAAAATGAAGATTAGGCTTACTTCTTCAAAAGTTTGGAAGGTTACTAAGTTCATTTCTGAGCATGTTCATCCTTTAACAAGCCCTGATAAAGTAATGCATCATCATTCTCACAAGCAGCGACATAGATCGAAGCATTGCATTAGCCTCATTGAGTTGTTGCATGAAGAGGGAATGAAACCATCTAATATCAAAAAGGTGCTTAATGTTGGATATCAAGGACAAGATGCTGAACAAGTCACCACACAACAGATGATTGATCATATCAGAAAGGCAAGGCAAAGTAACATAGGATGTGAATGTTTAAACATAATTAGACATTTCCAAGATAGAAAGGAATCGGATCCAGATTTCTATTTTGCTATGGAGGTCGATCACTTTGGTACCCTGAGAAGTGTGTTTTGGGCCGATGGTAGAGCTAGAGCCTCTTATTTAAGACTTGGAGATGTAGTTGTGTTTGATACCACATACAAGACTAATCAGTTGAGTATGCCATTTGCTCCATTTACAGGAGTAAACCACCACCGTCAATCCACCCTCTTCGGTTGTGCATTGCTTGCAGATGAGCGAGAGGAAACCTTCGAGTGGTTGTTTTCACAATGGCTCAAGTGTATGCATGGGGTTGCACCAAAGGCTATCATAACTGATCAGGATGCACAGATGAAAAAAGCTATTAAGAACATTTTGCCAAATACTCGGCATCGCTTTTGTTCTTGGCATATTAGAAAGCATATTGCTGAGCAGCAAGTAAAGTTGAAGAGCCAATACGGGGATGAGATGCCTACATATTTCAACAATTGGTATTCTGCTAGAAGTATAAGCAAATGTGAAGATTGTTGGGAAGTCCTAAAGGTTAAATTCAACATAAATGAAGGTGAAGATAGTTGGCTGACAAGAATGTATAACTTGCGTGAACATTGGGTAGATGCATACTTGAAGGACTGTTTTTGGGCGGGAATGACAACAAGCCAAAGGAGTGAGAGCATCAATGCCTTTTTTGATGGCTTTGTCAATGCAAACACTCGACTAGTTGAGTTCGTGGGTCAATATGACAAGGCAGTGGCATCTCGTCGTGCATCAGAATCTCATGAGGACTTCATGACTTTGAACACCGTGCCTGTGATGAGCTTCTCAAATCCGATTGAAGCGCAAGTTGGAAATATATACACCAGGGCGATCTTGAAGATGTTCCAAAGGGAGCTTGGTGATGTGATGTCATTACATCGTGAAGAAGTGTCAAAGGAGGAGTTGAAAATTGTATACTTGGTTGGAAAATATTTTCAAAATAAAGAGAATTGGGAAGAAGTAACCTATGAAATAAATAGTGAGCTTAACGTTGCATGCACTTGTTCATTTTGGGAAACTGAAGGAGTGCTATGTAAGCATATACTGAATGTATTGTGGCTAAACCAAGTGACTTCTATTCCCGAAAGGTATATCTTGCCTAGATGGAAAATTGATGCAAGGTATAGATATTTTGGCTTTGTTAATGCTATGGTATATCTTGCCTAGATGGAAAATTGATGCAAGGTATAGATATTTTGGCTTTGTTAATGCTATGAAGTTGCAACAAAATGATGATAGCATGGAGCGATGCAAGGTATAGATATTTTGGCTTTGTTAATGCTATGAAGTTGCAACAAAATGATGATAGCATGGAGCGAGGAAGTATTATAAGATTATGGGCTTTAAGAGGAAATTTTAATGAAGCACTTGATATGACAGCGGGCTCGAATGATCTTCTTTCTAAGTTGGAGCAACAAATATCAAACTTCCTTGCAGAAGCAAGGGAGGAAGTAAGGCTCAATATGGCACAAACTCTAGATTCTCAAGTTGAGAGTCACGTAGATTCAAATACTCATGTGCTTATATTGAAAGATGGTGAGGAAATTATGGTTCGTGATCCTCTCGGCCCTGTGAAACCAAAGGGACGTCCAAAAAATTCAACTAGGACTAAAAGTGACTTTGAAGAATCGGAAAGGCAAAAAGAGGTGAGACAGCGAAAATGTGGTCATTGTCAACAATTGGGCCACTATAGAACGGGTTGTCAATTGTTGGTAAGTTCAATTTAGTTCGTTTGTTTTACATATTTTTCATATATTTTTTTTTGTTTTACTTTTCTTGAAATATAACTAATTGATTTTTTTTGTTTTTCATTTTTAGAAAAAGCAAAAGAGATAGCTTGCGGGATAGTTTGCAAAAGTATTTTGGAGCTCAAGAAAAATGTGGTGTTAAATGATGTGGTTGTTTATTGACCTATTTGGTTGTTTATTATCTAATTTGGTTGTATGGGATTTTTATTATGGCAACTATTAAGCTATCAATTGATCGAGCTTTTGTAGCATTGCTCTAATTCTTGTTGATTACGGGTTTTGTTTTGGATTTATTACGAGAAAGGAGTCATTTCTAATTTTGTTGTCTCTGTCATTTCTAATTCATCATATCTCTTTTTATGTCATAATTATGCGTCGAACTCTTCAAACTTATGTACTGAGGCTGATGCTTCATCACCGCCTGAAGGTTTGGTTAGAATACTTCTATACGCATGAGTTTGATCTTCTATTCGCATGAAATCAACTAGGTAAATGTAGGCGTATAAAATTGCTTATAGGTCCCTTAGCACAGCTCGGCACAAACCGACGAACCAACGAGGCGACGAGGTTGACGAATCGCACGCAAGCAACGGAATACATCCATTCGCGTGTGGAATCGAGCCAAGTGTTCGAAGAATCAACGAGTCATCCAACTCGGCCAAAGCCTAGCCACCTATAGGTGGCTAGGTGGCCGGCCAGATCTGTGCCCGGGCACAGTGAAGAGAGGCTATAAATAGAGGGCTTGGTTCATTTGTTGAAAGGTTGGATTTTTTGGAGGCGAAGCCCTGCTGGATTGAAGACTCAGATCTAAAAAAGATTCAAACTTTAGGACTTCGAGGACTTGCTCATCCAGATCTGGTGCTCGGCGATCGTCAACGCCAAATAAGGCAAGTGTTCGAGAGGACCGGGTCTCAGATCTACGCAGGCATACTCCGGATCAAAGCTTGGTCTTTGATCCCGAGATTTGGGCGATTGTTTCCTTGGTGAACCAATCCCCCCCGGCTATTATTTCCTTAGCGAAATAATACCCGTCGTACTGCGTAGATCCGACCGGATCTAGATCTCGCGGTAGTCCACGGATAAACCTCGGCACAGGCAAAGAACCCACAAAAGCGAGCGACCGTAAAACAGGAGCTCGCGATTTGTTCTAAAGGAGAAAGTTTTAATCTTTTTCTTTTTCTTTGATTTCGTTGTAACCGGATCTTATAAAAAGACCGGATCTTTTGTAACCAAAAATCAATTACTTGAGGTAACAATGAATTCAATGAAGGCAATTTTCACCGCGAACAATCTGGCGACCACAGTGGGAGCCGCCGATCTCGCTGCCGAGATCCGAGCGTCGCAGCCGCGGATCTCGATCCCGGTCGTGGAGGAGGTCGAATACGAGTTCGACCAGCAGAAGTTCGAGGAGTACTTGTCGTCCTCGTCCGGATCAACCTCCCCCCGCAAGTCCAAGAAGCTCTCCTCCAGGAGAAAAACTCGTTGGTATGAAGATGTGGAAAACACCAACGAAGATCTCGCCCCGCTGGATGCCAAAGTCGCATAGGGTGAGATTCCTCTAATTCCCAACCAGGTCGGATCTGCTCTGGCCAACCCTTCTGCCGCAGGGGGCATGGTGACTCTCTCGAAGAGAGCCCGCCAAAGGCAACGTCAACGCCTTGCGAAACAATTCGTAAAGGTCATGGAGTCTGTTGACGGAATCCGCTACAACGCGGATCTGAAGAACAGGAGAGGCAAACAGCCTCAACGACCGATGAATGGCGACTCCTCCAAGTCGCCAACGAACGAATGGGTCCGTGTCAAACGGAACCGTTCGACACTTGAGGAGCGCATTCACAGGTGCCGCGCAATGTCAGCACAGGCACGGGCTCAAGTCTAAGAAGCCCGTAGAAGACTGCAGAAGGAGGTGGCCAAGAAGCCGCCACCAACCCGCCAAGTATGGAAGTTGCAGCCTTCGAAACAAGGTCAACCTCCGACGAATCAACCACAGTCGCCGGTAATACCAGTAGCTACTCCGGGAGATCACGTAGAATCATCCCGAAAGAAGAAACCAGTCTTGGAGCGCCTCGGTCCGATTCCCGACGAGAGAGGCAAAGCTCCTGTTCAAGATCGTTTGGGCCCGATGAAGAAGCCCAGAACGACTCAACACGCTGGGGATCGCCGTCACCTCCAACATGACAAGGAGCTCAAGGAAACTGCACGCACTAACTTGCGTATCGAAGTCCAAGAGCCCACTAAGAACTCACGCCCACAAAGGCGCGTTTCGAGGCGCGTGACTCTCGAAAGTCCGAAGAAGGTAATTCGCTCTCAGAAGGAAACGTTATCGTCTGATGATGATTACGTTATACCTGAGAAATCATGCCAACACACGATAGGTTGCTCCGACTTTCAAACGGACGATCTGTACTATCATGCTGGGGGTACGAGCAAAGCCAGAAAGAGAAGTCCCCGAGGACCGGAAACTCAGTGCCCTTGTTCAAAGCTCATTCGGGCGGTACTGTCTGAGTGCAACTGCATCAAGGCAGTCCCCGAAAGAGTTTCGGTTTTCGAAAGGCTCAGTATCGAAATGCCGAAATCTAGGCCTAGGCGTTTCCGACGAAGAAGAAGGATAGTAGAAGACGGAGAATTTCCTAGAGTCACCACCAACATGACCAGCAAAAGGGCATCGACACGAGATAATCCCGAGTCAATTCCGCCAATACCCCGGTATCTAACTCGTCTGCAGTCTAGAGCTATCATACGAGGAACTTATGGTAGGGTTCGGACAAGATTACCGTCGGAAGATGAAGAATCGGATTCCTGCTCTGCTGTCGCATCGGACAATACAGTGTCCAGCGAAGGACAACCCCGCGAGTCATTTATGATAAGCGCGGAAGAAATGGCCAAGATGCTTGAAGACGCTTTGGCTAAACAGAAAGAAAGTTTCAAGTTTGAGATGCAGATGGCCATGCAGACTATGAGAGAGATGCATGAGCAACAAATCCAGGCGTTCAGGAACCAACAAGGTGAACCAAGTCACCGTAATCAGGTTGTTCAGGAAGAAGAGCACACGGATAGGGATGGAGCTCACAATGCCAATAACCCTCCCGTCAATGCAGGGGGTGGTAACGAGGATGCCAACGAGGATACAAGTGAAGACTTGAAGATCAAAGATCTCGAGAGCAAAATCAACACATTGATCTCCGCTCAAGAGACGAAGAAAACAGGCATTCCCTGTCCATACCCACGAGAATGGGAATCGATCCCCTATCCGGCGAAGTTCAGTTTAATCAACTTCACGCCGTTCGATGGGAAGGGTTCCCCCACTCAGCATTTGATTTATTTCAAATCGCACCTGGGTATTATTTCCGGCAATGAGCCTCTGATGGTGCGGTCATTCGTCGGCACTCTTCGCGGAGCCGCCTTCGATTGGTACCGCCGCCTCAAGCCAGGAAGCGTGAACAGCTGGGATGACATGGAGACCAAGTTCCTGGCCAACTTCTTCGACGACGACACCGAGATATCTATCGGATCATTGCTCGATGAGAAGCAGAAGGACGGGGAGTTAGTCGACACCTTCGTTAAAAGGTTCCGGAACAAAGCGATGAATTGTCGGGACCCGATCACCAATGAATTCATCCTCCAGACCTGCCACAACAACCTTTCGCTGGACGTGTTGGAAGCAATGGGCACAGCACCGTCCAAAACGTGGCAGGATCTGAAAGTCCGAGGAGAGCAAGCTGAACGTTTCCTCCGAAGGAAGAAGGCCGAGAGGAACCTACCGACGGCTAATCCTCTGGACTCAAACTTCGCCTCTCGTGGTAAGGGCAAAACACCTGCAGCTACTGGTGGTGCTAATCAAGCGTCACAACAGCAATCCCGAAGGCAGCAAAAGACTTCGGGTCCGAGACTCCAAAGAGAGTATTCCTTCAAGGACGAAGACGTTCCAGCCATCTTCGAATCCCTCCTTGAAGGTAACAAGATCAAGCTACCGCCTATCACAAATCAGGAGGAAGCTGACAACACTACGGACCCAAAGTACTGTGCATACCACAGGAGGGTCGTTCATCCCACCAAGGATTGCTTTGCTCTCAAGAATAGCATTCAGACCTTGGTTGAACCCGGCGTTATATCGCTCAATTAAGTCAAAACAAGACTCCAACGAGTATACGAGTATAAACTGTTTCTCAATCCTCCAACAAGTGCATGAGGTTAAACTGCTTCCTTACATACTCCAATAGGTATATGAGTCTAAACTGTTTCCTTTCTTTCACGGGGAAGTTCCTGGAGAATATTAAGCTAATATTCTTAAGGATAACCCGGTTAGGTAACTGATAATAATGTCCGAACCAGTTCCGCAGAGGAAACTGGGGGTGGACGATTTATGTAACGGGAAGTTCCCAAAACCACAGCAATGTAATGAATAAGAACTCCCATTCAAATTCTCACCGTGTCTGTGCACTCAACACTCTCTCTGTTAGAGTCTGGACGTAAAGTTCCCAATTGGTCAAACCTTCATACAGTTAGGACCAAA